GAAGCCTGGTGGTCGATGCGTGCTAATGAGCTGGAAGCAGCAGCTGCATCTGGTAACTACCGGAAGCTCTTCCAGCTCATCCGAGCCACTGGCAGCAAGAAGTCTGGTGTGAGTGAAACAATCTGCGAGGATGATGGGATGCCAATCACTAACATCCATCGACGTCTTGGACGATGGGCAGAATTTTTCGAAGGGCAGTTCAACTGGCCTGCTGCTCCGGCAACATCGGTCAGACTGTCCTGCCCTCCATGGCCGGTGACGACTGATCCACCAAACGAGGAGGAAGTCCGCAAGGAACTCCAACTCTTGAAGCGTTACAAATCACCTGGCCCAGATGACTTACCTCCGGCTCTTTTTAAAGATGGTGGTGACTTTTTGACTAAGGAATTGACGACGTTGTTTACAAAGGTTTGGGAACTAGAGAGTGTACCAACGTCATGGAATGAGTCGATAGTTGTCCCTATCTTTAAAAAGGGTTCACGTCGTTCCTGTAACAACTATCGGGGGATAAGTTACTTCCGATTGCGTCCAAGCTATTGGCTTCCGTCATTCTTCGTAGGTTGTTCAAAACCCGAGAAAGATTGACTCGCGAGGAGCAGGCTGGGTTTCGTTCTGGTCGAGGATGTATTGATCATATCTTCACCCTCCGCCAAATGTTAGAACACCGCCATACTTTTCAAAGGCCAACAATCGTAGTGTTTCTTGACATCAGGGCTGCCTTCGATTCGTTGGACAGGACTGTTCTCTGGGATTGTCTATTGAAGAAGGGTGTGCCTGAGAAGTTTATTAACATCCTAAAAGCCCTATATAAAAACACCTCAGGCAGAGTGAGGGCATACAACCACCTCTCTCCATTGTTCCATTCGAGCAGTGGGGTTAGGCAGGGTTGCCCAATCTCACCATTCCTCTTCAACTTTGCCATCGATGACATTCTGGAAACAGCTCTGATGAATGTAAGTAATGGTGGTGTGGATCTGTTGCCTGGAGAAAGACTTCTCGACCTTGAGTATGCGGACGATATTGTCTTACTGTGCGATAATGCCCAAGGCATGCAATCCGCACTTAATCAGTTGGCAATCAGTGTCCGTAGGTATGGTATGTGCTTTGCACCTTCGAAGTGCAAAGTACTTCTACAAGACTGGCAGGATTCTAATCCTGTACTCACCCTGGATGGTGAGCAGATAGACGTAGTTGAGAAGTTCGTGTATCTGGGTAGCTGCATAAGTGCTGGTGGGGGTGTGAGTGATGAGATCAATGCACGAATAGTGAAAGCCAGAGCGGCTTATGCCAATCTGGGCCACCTTTGGCGCCTTCGTGATGTTAGTCTGGCTGTAAAAGGTCGGATCTACAACGCGTCGGTGAGAGCAGTTTTGCTCTATGCTTGTGAAACCTGGCCTCTCCGAGTTGAGGACGTTAGACGACTCTCTGTGTTCGATCATCGCTGTCTCCGAAGGATTGCTGACATTCAGTGGCAACACCATGTCAGTAATGCAGAGGTTCGGCATCGTGTGTTCGGGCACAGAGATGATAATTCAATTGGTGTCACCATCTTGAAACACCGACTTCGGTGGCTTGGACATGTTCTCCGAATGTCGTCCCAGAGAATTCCACGTCGTGCATTATTTGCCGACTCTGGGACTGGTTGGAAGAAGCGGAGAGGTGGTCAGTGCATGACATGGTGTCGTGGCATGAAAGAAAGCTGCAAAGGACTGGCTTGTGTTGGTCCTTCACGACTCCCTGGTTGGGGTCCGAGAGATGGTGCTACACAGTGGCTAGAGACGTTATCAGATATGGCTCAGAATAGAAGCCAGTGGCGATCCTGCTGTAACCTTCTTTTACTTTCTTCATAAAAAGTGGTTGTGTCTCCTTACCTGAAAGATTTCTTCTGATTGTACCTTTTCGTTCCGTCGTTACTACCACACTACCTTACTCCAATCTCTTCGTCATTGTTCTCTTTTTCTTTTGCGCTCCTTTGTTTTTTTTTCTACTTCTCTTCGAATTCTCATTGTTTTGTGTGGCGCATATATATTGGCGCTCTCTTGTACCAATATTCATGTGTTCAAATAAAAATAAAATAAATCAGATGTCGAGGTCTTCATAATCCAGTCAACCACCAGAAAAAAAAGGAAGGGGGAGATTAGCCAACCTTGTCTATCTCCTGTCTTATTATAAATCAGCTACATATTATATTAACTTTAGATCTTACTACTTGTTTCATTCAATCACATTGTTACAGAAAACTACCATTCACTTTATAGGTTTCAAAATCGATCTTTCTATGTATTAGCGGAACACAGACTGGATTAAAGCATGCTCAATGCACGATTGCTTCGCTGCACGCTGATTGGCTAATTCTTATTCAATCAGCGTTAGTCAATACTTAGTGAACGCTCTAAAAATCTTCTCATGTGAAAAACTATAAATATACTAACGTTTTCCCTATTTCTACTTACTTTCTTCTTACTTCCATCTAACCTCGTTATTTGGAATATAATCTTTTTCCTGTTTAACCGTGTTCTGATTTGGGGACTTGTCGAGTGAATCGGTGTCCGAGAATACTAAGCAATAGGAATAGTTGGGTTATAACCATAAGCGAGAAATATAACACTATGACATATACTTCTATGACATTTCATATCTCAAGTGTATTAAACAATGACAGATTTATCGGTATACTTGTTGACAGATTATATGAAAATAGATAGAGATTGAGATTTACTTAATCTTAAGTTACTTTAATAGATTTCCAATTGGACATTACTTTTAATTTATCATATCAATTTTGTATTATTCTAAGTAAGTATAATGTCAATTGAATATATATATTCAACAATAAACTGATACGATTAAGAAGAAGAGAATACTTCTTTTAATGATTGTTTATTTCAACGGGTTTTTTTTTCTTCTTTCCAAAAGAGATGTTATCTTATTATTAAGAGTTAAATTCACTTGATATTGTTTACTTATATCTTCCCATTGTTGTTTATAACTATAAACTTTCATTATTGTGATTGTAGCATTTTGAATAAACTGGTATTGAGATGGTGAAGAAGATTTATAATTCAAGTGTATAATATGGATGGAGTTTTGTGTTGTGAACTGGATGGTTTGATCGTGAAGCTTTCATTGTTATTCTGAATGATATCATCAGTACAAACGTCAGATAGAAGTGAAGTATTCGAATTTATTCACACATGGTTCATAGCTTATCCTGTACACCTCGATGTTGAGTAGTTATTGTTAAACTTTAATCTGGAATTGTTTACTTCTTTATTTTAGATGTATCTCCTGTTGATTGGAAATTCGGTCAAATATTTGTTCATAATTTTCTGATTGGTTGATAAATTGGATCGATTTCGATTAACATCAAGATCTAGGGACAAGCTGAGAGCCATATGTGAAAGAATTTGAATACTTCACTTGTACCTGAAGTTTATGCTGGTGATGTCGTTCAGAATAACGATGAAAGCTCCACGACCAAACCATTCAGCTCAGAGAAAATAACTCCATCGTAAATGAATATGATTAACGAATTAGAGACAGGATTATTGGATAGGTTTTTCTATTTATTTATTTATTTAAACACATAAACATTGGTACAAGAAGGCTCCACATAAATCATTCGGCTTTTGTAAGGGCTTGGATACTACCTGGTTGCTCATATCGAAGTAGGTGGTTTTCATAGGGGGCCACATCCAGAGCCTTCGACCTAAAGGTCTGATCTGCAAGGCAGTGGAACAACGTCAGGAGATGCAGTCCAGTGGCAGCCGGTGATCAATAATTGATTCGTACGCCATTTGTTCCTACAGGACACTTGAGTCCATGTGTATCGATGGTTTAGAATCAGGGTTTTCCAACTCTCCTAGATGGACTCTCCGCATCAACCAACCGGTAATCGCGCCGAACATTCGCTTTTCGTCCTCTTGATTCCGTAAACAACACCCTAAGTGCGATAAGTCATTCAATAGGATTTCTCTTACAGTATCTGTATAAGGTTGGCCGGACACTATCAGCAACAACCTACTATGGGAGAAAACAAACGAGATCCCAACGTAGGAAGAAATCAGGAAGAAGCGCTGGAAGTGGATAGGACACATATTGAGGAAAGCACCCAACTGCGTCACAAGACAAGCCCTCACATGGAATCCTCAAGGCCAAAGGAAAAGAGGAAGACCAAAAATACATTACGCCGAGAAATGGAGATAGACATGAGAAAAATGAACAAGAATTGGATGGAACTAGAAAAGAAGTCCCAGGGCAGAGTGTGTTGGAGAATGCTGGTCAGCGGCCTATGCTCGATTAGGAGTAACAGGCGTAAGTAAGTACCTGTATAAGGGTGGCCAAGATAGAGTTGATTCTTCTTACTCTCGGCCGTACCAGGGCATTTGGGGACAAAACGTTTTCTAGATTTAAAATTAATTGACTCTAGCGAGACAAAGAATAATTCTGTAAATTAGATTGTGAAAACTTGTTCATTTCAGAGGATGTATTTATTTTTAACCGTAAATCAAATTCATACAAATTCTTTATAAATATTGAAATCCATTACGAAATATGATAATTCAACTGTTATTCCGATTGCTTTCTGTTCGCCTCATTTCTTCTACTGCTGTGATGTGTGTTACTTCTGTTGACATAAGTAGTATATAGCACTAGTCAGAAATAGAATGCCTGGCAGCAGAAGGTTGAGAAGATCGATGAGGAGAGAACGGGAACAGAAAGTAATTGGTATCGAAATGCAGGAATAATGAAGTCTAAAACAATTAATGAAAATTTTGCAAAAATGAATTATTAGAGTATGGTTTTTATACTTTGCCAAGTAATCGGTTGCCCTAACCTTTGTTCTCTTTCACTACACTGACAGTAAGAATCCTACTTTCAATTCTTGATACATACTACTTATATCAGTCTGTTTAAGGAACACACACACACACACCACAATTCTCTTACTACTCATATGTATTACCATATTTTAAAGTTACTAAGTAACAATACGGAAGTAAACTGTAGCTTTTAAACATTTATTTTAACAGTTATCTTTGGAAACACAGAGTGAAACATTCGATATGAATAATTATAAGGTTATTCTCTCAATTAAATGATTTCAAAGATTTCTGTCATTTTCAAAGATGATTTGAATAAATATATCCTTCTTGAAGAGAGTTTTTATATTGGACTGTTGGTAAAATGCCCACTGTTGGATAGAACAAAGCAGCTTATGATTTCATTGGACTAGCAAATTCTCTAAACATTTTGTTGAATGTACAGATACTTGGGTAGTTTTATCATGTTCAGTTGAATGGATCAATGATGGTGAAATTGACTTTTTATTATTTAAATGAATTCGATTGGAATTTTCTTCATCACTTGCCCCTCGACCACTATCTGAACGTTGTTCTTCACTAGCAATTGGAGTAATAATATTTTGTACACTACAATCTATGTTTCTTTTATTCACTGACTTAGGATTCCTTAAACTGGTTGTATTAAGATCCAATAGTACCGCTGTATTGGACATAGAAGTGGGATTTAATGAAACAGATCTATCATTCTGTATATAATAAGTTGAAGAAATAGGTAAGGTGTTTGTACATTGAAGTAAAATAAGATCAGGTTTCACCGTAGAATTATCCGAAGATGCTAATGAAACTGATGGAATCGACATTATAGATGAATCGTATAGTTGAGTATTACAATTTAACTGTTGTGGTAAATGTAAAGAACATTTCAATTGTTTGTCATCAAAGGATGTATTTAATAATATTTGTTGACAGTCATTTTGTGGTAATTCTAAAATGAGTGAATTCCATTCAGGTTGTTGAAACTAACAATCAAAAGAAGAAAAGGTAATATTCAAATGTATTTCTTTATGTGAAGATATCATTGTGTTACACAATCATATTAACCAGAATACTAATAAACTATTGTATCCCGATGAGAATAATGAATGTTAACTGTTGGGATCTATTTCTGGACAAATACTATTCGTATATTTTTATCGTATAATTGTTAAGTAACTGAACTATGCATATTCATCTTTTTCTTATTATAAGCTTTATTTTGACCTATGAGCTATTACGATAAGATTTACCATTCTTGAGTTGTGCCCTGTCTATCTTCCACATTTGGCCAAATCTTGTACAAATGTTGTTCCCTATTTTATGGTAAGATGTGGTCTGTTTGGTTGGTAATATAAACCCAGTATGTTTGAAATAAATGATCCATATCGCAGAGGCTGAGATTGGTGTTCTGGACTCGAACAGGAAAAGCTAGACGGGAAGCAGGACCGATAGAGAATCTAGACTGCTCGTACGTGTTTATGCATCATTGATCCGGTCGATAAATTACTGTTGTCTATTCGGCGGTATCATTACGTTATACATTGATAGGGTCATAAGGCACAAGTTATAACACAAAACTATAGAGTATTGAATAACTGTTTAGTTGTAGTTTGCAACTTTTCAACGGTGCTAATGCATAACTACTCTATGAACCAAACCCAGGATATTCACATTTCGTAGCAAATACATTAATTTTCAATCATGTGAAATTGATCCACCTTAGCCCTATCTTTCATAATACTTAATGTAGATAAATTGTTTGATACATGAAAAAAGGGATACCGAAATTTACTACTAACTGTACTACGAATAACGCTGTATAGATCAATATATAATGACAAGAACACAGAATCAATAAAACAAAGAATAAGATCTGTAATGGATCGACTGATATTAAAGTTAAGATTAAACCAATTATGATAACGCATTAAACTATTCTTTATAAACAAACTATGCAGCTTAGGATGGCATGATTTTATTTATGACATATTAAATATTTTGTAGTTTGGTTCCAAATTAAAGAGATTTTTTGCCTAAGAGAAGTCATTATAGTCAGAATGTTTGATAATAGTGAGATAAAAATGAAAGTAAAAGAAAATGCTCTAAATACTCAGAGAGTTGCTTTGATGATGACGACGATAAAGATCAGTTTTACGAGAGGCTGCAATCAACCATAATGAAGTGATCAGGAAAGGATCTGACCAACCTGATGAAAGACCTAAACTCCCAAATCGGTATGGATAACACCGGGTATCGGGATATTATGGAACGACACGGACTGATTCGGAGAAAGGAACAAGAATGGTAACAGATTTGCAAATCTATATGACCTCAACAAAATTGTTAGATCATATTCGCATCAGTAAAAAGTTCACAAGGTCAATGAAAGACGTGAAAACCAGGAGAAGAGCTGATATAGCATCAGATTACCACCTGGAGGTTGCCAAGATGAAACCGAAGCTAAAGAAACCCTGGACAACTGGACGAATAGCATTACAGAGCTCAATATAGCCTTCTTTAGACACACTGACAAACTCAATGAATTCAAGATAGCTCTCAACAACAAGTTCCAAGCCTTACAAGATTTATTCAGAGGAGAAGGAACTACTATGGAGGACAACTGGGAAGTGATCAAACAAGCACCAACTTCAACATCTCAGGAGGTTCTGGGTCTCCAGAATCATCATCATACGGAATGGATCTCTATCAAAATCCTGATCAGGATTCAAGAAACAAAGAAGAATGAATCTCAATGGAAACACTGGACAAGGTTGAAGGAAGGAAGAACAAGAAGGCAGCAATTAACAACAGCCGAACACGAACAGAGAAAGTCAAGGCAAACCTGAATACACTGAAGCAAACAAGCGAGCAAAGAGGAGCATTTGAGCCGACAAGCAGAAATACGTGGAAAACCAAGCAACGACATAAAAAGCTACAACAAAAGGAAATATGAGACAACTGTTGGAAATATTTTAGTAAACGGAATATATCCATTGAAAAATTAAATAGGAAAGATTGGTTCAGCTAAGAGTTCGCTTTTCGGCAAATTCATTTTCATTCGAGAACGGAGGAACAGATGTGTAGAACACTGAAAAACACTTGAATAGACCAGCTCCACTGGATCCACCGGAAATCGAAGAAGCACACACAGACCTTCCTATGGATATCATCCCATCAACGAACTAAGAAATCAGGATGGTTATCAGATAAATCAAGAATGGGAAAACAGCAGGACCTGAGAATATATTAGCAGAATCCCTTAAGTCAGACATAGAAGTAACTGTAAACATTCTTCACGTTCCATTAAAGAAGATTTAGCGGAAGTAACAAGTCCCACTGTGTTGAGGATGTTAGATCCTCAGAACTCACCTGGAGAAGGTCCTAATTTTGTAATTTTATTCTAAAATTTTGAATTCTAGGTTTTCATGCCAACAGACGCTTAGTTAACCTACAGCTTACATTTCCCACTCGGAAATCCTTGAATGTCATTGGTTGACGGATTTTTTAGTACGCTATTTTGTGGCTCTCCCAAAGGCGTTTCTATCATTGCAGAAATATGCTTGATTTGTATGCTTAGTGACCTCGTATTTTCTGGGTGATTTCAGAATACATTCTCTACGCCAATCAAGACTTCTCGATCTAGTTAGCAGGGCTGGAGAGAATAGCCTATCGTGTCACTGTATCTTGACCTTCGTTCCGTTTACCAACTAAGGTGAACTCGTAATAGCATTCAAGCATATAACACCGACAGACTGGAAAAAGTATACCTCATCAATATGCCAAAGAAAGGAGATCTGAGAAAATTTGATATCTACACAGGCATCGCACTAATACCGGCGCCAGGAAAGGTTTTCAACAGAGTGTTGCTGAACCAGACAAAGGAAGCAGTAGACACCCAACTTTGAGATCAACAGGCTGGATTCCGTAAGGATCAGTCGTGCACAGACCAAATCGCGATACCACGGATCATCGTTGAACAACCAATTGAAGGGAATTTGTCACTATACAATCACTTCCTTGACTATGAGAAAGCATTTGACAGTGTGGATAGGAGAACATTATGGAAACGTCTTCGTCATTATGGTGTGCTGGTGAAAATCATCAACACGACGGACTACACAGTAAATTGGTGCATGGAAGACAGAGGACAGACGCATTCTGAATGAAGACCGGTGTCAGAGAGGGTTGCCTGCTTTCTCCCTTACTCCTTCTTCTGCTGACAAACGGAGTAATGAATACCTCCACATCTGATAAGTACAGAATACACCTGACAACTTGCATGTAACTAGACGATTTGAACTTCGCAGATGACATAGCCCTTCAATCGCATACACACGAACAAATGCAGATGAAGACAGACAGTGCAGCAGAAGCCCCTGAATATGTAGGCCTCAACATACACAGAAAATAAGAACATCCTCAAATACAACAAGGAGAACACCAACCAAACCAATCATATTTGATGCAGAAGCACTGAAGGATGTGGAATTTTTTCACGTACCTGGACGGCAGCATCGATGGACAAGGAGGATCTGATTCAGATGTGAAGATAAGGAATTGCAAAGCAAGGGCAGCATCCCTACAGTTGAAGAACATACGTAACTCAAAACAACTGTCAAACAAACAAAGTCAAAATCTTCAATATGAAAATCAAGACAGTTCTGCTGTATGGAGCTAAAACACGAAGAACTACTACAACCATCATCAAGAATATACAAGTATTTATAAACAGTTGTCTACTCAAGATACTCAATATATGTAGACCAGGTACCATCGACAAAGACCTACTGTGGGTGAGAACAAACCAGTTTCCATCTGAAGAGGAAATTAGAAAATGATGTTAGAAGTGGTTAGAACATACATTACGGAAATCACCGAACTGAATCTTGTGGGAAGCGCTAACTTAAAATCATGAAAGGAAACGAAAATATGGAACGCCAAAGAATACACCACGTCGGGAAATAGAAATAGATATGAAAAGAATGAATAACAACTGAAAACAAATGGAAATGGTTATCGAGAATCGAGATGGATGGAAAGTGGTGATAATGAATTATTCACTTACTGTATTTTTAATTATATTCAAAGGTGTTAAAATACTTTCAATAAATACTGGTTGAATTTCATCATTCCTATCTAATTCTTGTTCATTAGCATTTACATTCATTGTACATGTAGTTTGATTACTAGTAGTATTCATATGATTACAATATGTATCTGTTTTAATTAAATTATAATATGGTATAAAATAATTTTTTATATAATCTATTCTTGAACAATCATTAGTCATAAATAACTTCTTATCATGATCTTGATCATGATCATGATTAGGATCTTGATCTGGATCTTGATTCTGATAATTAGTATACAATGAAATATTATCAAATGAACTATCAACATTTCCTCCGGATGTATAACCATTCAAGTGATCAGATTGTTGTTGTTGCCGTGGTAGGTTTTTACATTGTTGATTATATAAAGTAAACTTGTAAATATTGTTCATTGTTTCTATATGATCAATTCCTTTCTTGTCATTGTTATGATTGAAGATTGTCTCATTAAATTCTTTTGTATAAAGATTAGTAACATTATTGTTATTATTATTATTATTATTATTATTATTATTACATATGCTTTTATAATGCCATTTCGTTGAACAATTCATTTGGATGTTTCGACATGGTTTGATCACACATAGAATAATACTAAATAATAAAGCAGCTACAAAAGTTGACATACCAGATAATAATATAACTATGAAAATTTTATGCGCTTCTAATAGGGTATACTTAAAATTACTAGAAGATGTATTGTGTTGTTGAATCATTTCTGGAAGTAACCAATTTCCACGAGCTGGTGTATCTTCAATAATTAATTGAATGATCTTTAATGAAGAATATAAAGAATTGATTGAACGAGAAAATTATTGAAAAAAATAGAACAAAGAATTATAATTTGTAATGTAATAGTTATTCATAATTCATACTTACTACTTACTTATACCTGTTACTCCTAATGGAGCATAGGCTGCCGATCAGCATTCTCCAACACACTACGTCATGGGCCTTCCAATTGTTGTTGATTATTCTCATGTCTGTCTGTCTCCATTTCTCGATGTGATGTGTTCTTTTGTATTCCTCTCCTCCTTTGGTCTTGAGGATTCCAAATGAGGGCTCGACTTGTGATACACTTCAATGCTCTCCTCAATGTTTGTCCTATCCACATCCAGCTCTTTTCCTCATTTCTTCCTCCGCTGGGATCTGGTTTGTTCTCTCTCACTGTAGTGGTCGTTGCTGATAGTGTCTACTATTAATAAACACATGTATCTTGTGGATCGTGGATTTTGTAGTTCTCCAAGTTTCCAACCCATACAGTAGAACTGTCTTGACATTTGTACTGGAAATTCTGATCTTGGTGTTGGTTGATAGTTGTTTTGAATTCCAGATATTCTTCAATTGTAGATATGCTGTTCTTGCTTTGCCAATCTGCACATTCACATCTGCATCAGATCCACCGTGTTTATTAATGATGCTGCACAGATATGTATAGGTTCTTACATCTTCCAAATCTTCTCCATCAATTGTGATTGGATTGGTGCATGCTGTGTTGTGTCGGAGAATCTTACTTTTCCCTTTGTGTATATTGAGACCTATTGCTGCTGAGGCTGCTGCTACACTGGTCGTCTTCTCTTGCATTTGTTGTTGCGATTGCGATGGGAGGACCAGATCCTCTGAGAAGTCTAGATCGTCTAACTGCATCCTAGATGTCAATTGTATCCTGTGCTTCCCTTCAGATGTTGAAGTCTTCATGATCCAGTCGATCACCAGGAGAAAGAGAAAGGATGAGAGTAAGCAACGTTGCCTGACACCGGTCTTCACTTCGAAAAAATCTGTGAGCTGACCTCTATGCAGCATTTTTCAGTTTAATACATCATAGAAATTCCATATGATATTGACTATATTCTCAGGCACGCCGCGCAGTCAAATTGTTGTTCTGTCCAGGCTATCAAATGCTTTGTTGTAGTCAATGAAGTTGATGTAGAGTGACGAATTCCATTAAATTGATTGTTCCGTAATGATCCGTAGTGTTGCGATTCATAATATAATCATAATAAGTTATTGATTTTCAACGGAACCATTTTTTTATAAAAACATTAATATCTACAACTTTCCAAGCACTAATTATGTCAAGCATAGATAACTGCTCTTGAAGTGATAAGTTATAGATTGGAGACATAGTACAAACATCAGTACTACTATTCAGTAACATCTAACTGAAAGGTTAAAAAAGAACAATAAAGGCATCCACTACCAACCACCACTTATCAAACACAAAAACTGCCAATTATTATTGATTTATTCAATATATCCAAGTGTATAGTTAGATTAGATATCTTTCGAAGACACATTCATGAAAACAGTGATACGTTAAAAAGATAAAAACTTTTAATCTCATCGGTTCGTTGATCTAAGATTAGATTCAACTTCTGATAAGTTTCTAAATTCTAATGCTATCAAATATGGTAACTGTCATTATAACGAATATGACTGACAAATATCTAATGCATTTGTAGCCACTGTATGTCTACGCAAATTATACTACAAAAAATTTATAACAACTCTTCTACAATCAATTTCGATTATTAGTCCTTTTATTAACTTACTTAACAGACAATGTTATTCGAGGAGTACGTTCTCGTCTATTTCTTTGTACTATTATGATCACATGTGACAGCCGACACATATATATATATCTCTAGCTAAAATGTTAGTTGCTTAAATATTACTTGATAAACTATTCTCTTTCCCATATATACTCGAATCCTATTATTAGCTTTTGCCTTACCTATCTGCACGTTAATTCGATTTGACCACACATTTGTCACTGTATTTGCTTACATACACATATTCGCCGATCTGCTTCAAATTAGCTCAATGTGCTTGTAGCTTTGTGATCTGCGCTATCCGTTAACAAACTATAGTTGCCATTCTTATTAACTCCTGATTTCAAACACCATTGAAATTTATATAATAACGGTTGCCAAGGTGATTAATTACCAAAGATAAGTCATTACAAATTGTGAACATAATTACTAATTGATTTTTATAAATACATGCTTATATAAATAAATGCGTGTATAGATAGATAGATAGATAGATAGATAGATAGATAGATAGATAGATAGATAGATAGATAGATAGATAGATAGATAGATAGGTAGATAGATAGATAGATAGATAGATAGATAGATAGATAGATAGATAGATAGATAGATAGATAGATAGATAGGTAGATAGATAGATAGATAGATAGATAGATAGATAGATAGATAGATAGATAGATAGATAGATAGATAGATAGATAGATAGATAGATAGATAGATAGATAGATAGATAGATAGATAGATAGATAGAGAACAAAATTCCATGAAAATCATTCACCTGAGCTACAAATCTTCTCCATCATCTCATATGTCACCGTTTTAAGACAGAAATGAATCGAAAAAACAAAATACATATTCAATCTATCAAGTAACATTTCTCCTACCCTCCAACTACACAATGAATTCCTTAATGGTAATCATGTATGTTGTTTTAAAAAGAAAAAAAGAAAAAAGAAAAAGAGAATTTTCATTTTAAACAAAATGTAAACTTTGAAACGAGAACCAAAAAAAAAGAAAAACAAAAAAGAATAAATTGACTTACTTTTTCAGATTTTTGTACAGGGATTCCATGATCTTCAACAATCACTATGAATTGATAAATACCAATATCATCTTGATATAAATGTTTAGTTAATAATAAACGTCCATTTGTTGTATCCAATTTCAATGCATCTAATATAGTAATGTCTTTCATTGTTTTTATAGTTCTATTTAAATATTGTTGTTTTATATTATAATGTATTAATGCATTATTACCTTCATCTATATCAAATGCTTTAACAATACATATACAATAACCTGGTTTTTCATTAATAGATAGATGTATTGAAGAGATGATATGTGACATTTTATTAGTTCAGTCATATTAAAATTCATAGACGTTGAATTGATTGTAGTTAATGATTGATTCATAGATGTTTTATTTAGATCTTTGGTAAACAATCATAAGAAAAGTAAAAAAAAAGAAAGAAAAAGAACAAAGAAGAGTAGACTATATATTGTGAATAATTATAGTGAAGATACCATAGGTATTTGTAGTTTGACAACACTTTAATCAGTAACACCTTGTAATATGAATTGTACCCACCAAGTGAAATCAAAAGACAGAAGCGAGGAGGTTTGAAGATATATTTGATAAGCTATCAATATATCGAAGATTGATTGATCTAGGCTGGCTAGCGATTGCAAAGGATGTTGAGCACGGCGTTCCCACTCGTGATCTGGTGCGAATGCATGACCGAGTACCTTCAGCTAAGCGAGTCCAATAAAACTAATGTGGTCAGCATCCAATGTCTAAGACTTACAGAGCTATATATTTTGGGGATTTATTTACGTCTACAATAGGATATATATAGATATATATATATATATATATATATATATATATATATAGATATATATATATATATATATATATATATATATTGAATGATAACAATAATATATTAGTATGGTATAAATTTTTCACATAAAGAAACTAAATGGAATTATTGCATGTACATTATACAGGAAAATAACATTTCTAAAATGGTATATTTATTAGAATTAGGTTCCACTGTTAGACACTATGCATCTTTGCTTAGAATACTTGTGACTTAAGGCAATATCGAGACAATACCCATAGTATGCACATATGTCAATAAGAGACTAATCAATTGCAGTCCTCAATATCAATGGGAAGATACAAGTAAACAAGACCAAGTGAATTCAAACTTCACCCTATTGCATAAGTAAGTGGCTATCAGGGCTCAGTAGCTAAGTGGATAACGCGATGGCGTTTGAAACGAACAGTATTAATTTCGAGTCCCGGAGTGAGCATCAATTTTGAGATGCAGGTACATCCACTTGACGAGTCCCAAATAGGACAAAACGCGTGTCCTGGATTTCACTGCTATCCACTATCCATCTTTGCTTAAAAGATCTTCTTTTGAGCCATTGTATAGTTTTTTTATGCTTTGACGTCGATAAATCTTCACTACCAGTCGTGTTGTTTGTACTTCGCGTTGTGGGAATTGCAGTGATTCCTTGTTTTCTACAAGTATAAGTAATAAGCGACGTGGATATAACTGAGAATTATAGTCAATTGAAATCATCAATATTACCATCAATCAAGCGTAGTAATTTTTGAATATTATACTGCTGAGGAGTCCCGCAATAGGACGAAACGGCCATCCAGTGCTTCCAGGTTTCCAAAGGTGGTCTAACATCAATCGGTTCATGATCTCAATCAAAAACTTAATAATCTCCACAACCCCTATACTAGTATTATACTTCAGTTTGTGTGCACATCACAGATACACTATTCAACAGAATTTTCTCCCAGTTTATATGTATCATAATCAAAGTTTATTTCTCAACTACCTTAGCAACTAACTTAACGAATTGATATTCAATACAAAATACCAAAAAATAACAAGGAACTAATGAGTAAATTCTAATCAATAATCAATAAATTTATCAATCACTAACCATAATATTCTCCTATAATTTCAATAAAATATGGTTTGTTGTCATTTAAATCAAGTACACGTATACAAATTGTATCTATTGTAGAACAAGTTTTATCTTGACCATTATCGGAGGCAATCACTTCAAAACAATAATGAGACTATATAACGAAAAAAAATAGTACATGTAATAGAAACAAGATAAGAATAACTATGAACAAGATAAAAGTAAATAAACGACATATGGTCGTATAATAAATAATATGAATGGTATTTAGAATTGGTTTACTTCAGAAATGATTAACATATCTTATACGATAGACTTTACATTGCAGTTATATTCTTTTAAATAGCTAACTTCTTAAGGAACAAACAAGCTTCCAGCTGAAGAGGAAACCAAGAAAAGACGATGGAAATAGATAGGACATACATTAAGGAAATCACCAAAATGCATCACGAGGCAAGTTCTAACTTGGAATCCTGAAGGGGAGCGGAAAAGAGGAAGGTCAAAGAACACATTACGTCGGGAAATAGAAGCTGATATGAAAAGAATGAATAACAACAGAAAGAGCTGGGAAGGATTGCCCAGGACAGAGTTGGCTGGAGAATGCTGGTGAGCGGCTTATGCTCCTCTACAAGGAGTAACAAGTGTAAGTAACCTTCTTAAGCAAAACATTTATAACAACATATATAAGCGAACAATATTGTTTTCGATTAGATCCTCACCAGGCTTTACTCTAATATTTATACGCATATAAGAAATGATTAAACCAATCAAGGTAGTTGATGAGTCAATGATGATAACAATGGAGTAGATTATATAAATAAGTGAAAAGTACAAATTGATACTATGATGACAGGTGTACTAGATGTGATAAGAATAATAAAGGCTTGAATCAATGTTACATTATGGGAAATAGAATAATGATTAGAAACAATTTAGACACTGAAATAACATTCATAGAAAGATTATAAGATTACCTAATGAGAAGTGTTCAGATAACTGGACCGTGATTCGTATAATTGAGAGAAAATAAAATAAAACAGTAGGATGGGGTGAAGAGAGAAATAATAATAACGAAGAGGAATTATGGAAAGTAATAAAGCAATAAACAAAATGATTTATTAAGGTCAAGGGAGAGATAAGGGTGATACAAACTACTTATGGACACAATGACTTAGATTGTTGGCTCGAATTCCTATAGCTTCTGCTGTGTGTAAGAGACGAGATCGAACAGCATAAGGAAAACTATTAAGAATACGATAAATAACTTTAAATGACTTATTTCTGTCTAGTAGATGACTGCTATCAACCAAGTGTGATAGAACCGAGCTGCGTATTGTTTGACAGTACTTTTGATGAGACTATAATTTATGGACGAACCGATCGGATTTAGAAAAACATGACTTGAATTTTTGCGCGTCCAAATAGCGTCTTGGCATTTTAACCGATGTCATTTGGTGATGAAAACCATAAATCTAAATCCTAACCTAACCATCAACTGTAAATCATTATCTTTATTCCTCACACTGCTTTATAAACATTACTTAGCCCTATTAAGTAGGTAGAGACTCTCAAGGTCACTTTAGCGTCACTCATAGGTCATCCCTAAATTATAGTCTCACTACCTTTTCCGAACCACAAAGGGAGGAGTTCACTAACTCTTTGGTTCAGTTGTCTGGCAGTGTTAATTGACAAATTGTGTCTTCATCATGGGAGAATTTTCTAGGAATAAAGCACTATCAATTAGCTTTATAGTTTGAAATGTTACTAGCAAGCTATATAGATGGTTATTTACCTGCTTCAGAATTCTTAAAGTTTCAACTTAATCAGTAGACTACAATCAGTTTTAAAGACTGGATAAACTTCAAACTGGTCACTAATGAATCATGAATAAATACTGAGTTTTGTTTCCATAGAATAATTCAGTCGTAGACAAATTTTGATGAGTAAAGAATTAATAAATTACTATTATCATCTAAATAAGCAAAAAAGGCATTTGCTTACCAATAATATTGAACTTAAAGATAAACCAAAGTTATTTTGATGAAGTTTTGTTCTCTGAGCTGAATGATTTGGTCGTGGAGCTCTCATCGTTATTCTGAACGATATCGTCAGCACAAACTTCTGCCTGAAGAGAACAAAACTCCATCCAAATCATCCTGCTGAGCTACAAATTTTCTCCACCATCTCAAAATTATGGAGAATCGCCTAAATGTGTTGACTAACATTTAGTTTAATAATGTTCAAAAACAGATATACGTGATTGAAATTCGAACACTTCACTTCTATCTGAAGTTTGTGCTGATGATGTCGTTCAGAAGAACGATGAAAGCTCCACGACCAAACCATCCAGCTCAGAGAACAGTACTCCATCAAAAACTATTTATCTAGTAACCTATTCATACAATCTTGCCTAGATCCCAGTAGTTTCTTATATTGATTTCATTCTCAATCTATTAAATATTATCCATGGTTCAAATGGATCTACTTTATATCAATGTAACAAGAGGATAGAGAATTATTCCCTCATGGATAACTTTGATTCAAAGTTATTCACAAAAAAACGTATATGATTTCAGTAAGCTTAATAAGAGAGAGGGGGTCTCAGAATAAACTATTCTTATCTAAAAATGTCATACGAATTTGACTGACATACTGTACACAATAAACAATAAAATTATTATATGCATATGCATATTATTATTATTATTATTATTAATGTCTTTATTCAGTAGTATAGTTTTGGTACAATATAGAATTCTGAGAACAAAGTATTTCAACAAGTTTCTTTGTCTTATTTCTTGATCGATCTTGATGATAACATGTTGAGTGATTGACAGTTAGATTTTAACAATTCAGGGATCGACATCTGAATAATGTATATTCCTTTCGATGCACATTACCAAGAACCACGATCAGTCAGTCAGTCAGCTACAATGTAGAACTTCGTACGTACGTACATCAGTTCAGTTGCCATACCACATTACATTAGCACAGAGATACAATTTTCGATTCAAATCTCATAGTGGTAGATGTAGTAAGAGTATAAGCAGTAATCAGAAACATCAGCGTTTGAAGATGTTATTTAAAGAGTACAATCCAGTGAAATAAATTTGGGAAGAGAAAAAAATGAGACAAGGAGGATTCAGGAGATTAGAATTTGGGAGAACACAAAGAGTGGACGCCCCTGCGCCATTGCAAACGATTTTGAGTCACGTCATTCAAGGTCTTTAACAATCGGTTGCTATCGTCTCTCGGATCCCAACAGAGTAGTCTAAACCTACCAACATGGCTCATTCCACTTGTCAGTGACTTCATGGATTTGTGCCATGTTTTGATCTGGCCGACCCTAGCTATCTTCCAATCTACTCCCACACCAGAAAATATTGCACGTTGGAGCAGTCGGTGGTTGGGCATACGTAACACATGTCCCAGTCATCTCAACTAATGAAGTTTCACTACTTTATCAATTTATTTGCCATCCTCACCTATTACCTGTGTCCTAGCAACTGCATTAATTACTCGGTGGTCTCAGGATATACGAGCAATGTTTCGAAGACACCTATTATCAAATACTAGTAACCTACAAATATCCTCTACTCTTACTGGTCATGTTTCACTGCCATAAAGTAGGACGGAACAAACTGCTGAGCAGTAAACCCGTCCTTTGATTGGTAGACGGACACCTCGCCTACGCTATAAATGACGCAAGTTGGCAGAAGCTAGTCGAGCCTTCTGTATCCGTGCTGAGATTTCGTTACACACAACCACGGTATCTCTGATCGGGCACTTTTTTTAGTTGTAAGCGAAATGCCGTAAACTTTTCACGATTTATATATACAGCAAACATTATTGTAGTACACATGTTTAGGATTTTTTATTAAATAAAATAAATTAAGGCTGATAATGCTGAAACGCCTTGGATGAAATGTCAACTTAAATACATTTATATGTCGATTTCCTTAACCTCCTGTCTCCAGGCATTCCACTTTCGATTAATGATACACACTACTTATATCTGTCGACATCAGTAGCATACACCACAATAGTAATAATAATACCAATGTATATGAATAAAATAAGATCCATTTTAGTTATGAAAACACAAAAGGACAGAGGGTATATAGATTTATCAAATTAAGTTATCCTGTGGTTAAAACGACCATCGATTTACTGAGCATTAAATTGGCCATAGTGAGAGAAAATCTTAAACCTTTTTTTGGTAAAACTGCTCTGGTTATTATCCGAATAGCTAATGATTTTGCTAAGAGTCCGGCAAACTTTAAGAGGATACTGACCTATTGAAAATGAATGATCGAATTATGCTGTCATACTAAACAGGTTGAACTAAATAGTCTTGTATTTACTATCTTAACGACACCTTGATTATTCATTCTAGAAGCTGTACATAAATGTAAATTCCAAAAGCATCGGCCGACGTAACCTTCTATACAGGAGAATTCGGACGGATAAATACAAAAAGAATTGGCTAGTCTAACTATTTCTGAAATTAATTTCAAAGTCTGTCGTCTAATTACTGAATTACACATTTGCTTTCAATATGTTTTCCAGTTATCATGACGTGTTTAATTAAGTGAAAAATATTACCTCAGTTAAATGGAAGGTGGAAACAATGGAATCCAGGACTTATGTTTCATACTATTTGGAACCCATCCATCTTTGTTTATATTATTTGTGAATTAAGATAATATCGAGGCAATTCGTATAGGATAGATGTATGCCAATAAATAACTGATCCATTATAGATCTAAACATCAATGAAACGATTTAAACAACCCCTTACAAGAGAAAATGGATGAATGAAAATCTAACATACTTGATTCTCTCTATCCAATGATTTTCGTGTGAATAAACTTCCATTATTTAATAAATGAAATGGTAAATCATAATCAGTAACTAATTGAGTAGTATTAATTCTTAATTTAGAATCAATATTTTCATTTAACCATAATTTCAATGTTACTTCACCATTTAATCCTTCATCTCTATCAACGACTTGTAGATCACCAATCCATGTATTTGCTGGTTGATTTTCTTCAATTGCAAATTGTCTTGGACCATGAAATTCAGGTGCATTATCATTTTCATCTAATATATGAATAAGTAATTGTGTTGTAGCTGTATGATGTATTGTATTATTGTTTGATAATGAATATAATTGATTATTTAATGTTTGAAAACCACCGTCAATAGCTAGTATTGTTAACTGTAGAAAAATTTTAAAAAAGGGGAAACATTTAAGGATATGCACTATAGAGACTATAAATAACTGTGTATGTACAGAAGAAAAGTATAATAGACACTTAATGTTTTATTTCAATAGTTGAGATCATGAGTCAATTGAAGCAAGATCACCATGGAAAACCTGGAAGCACTGAACGTTTGTTTCGTCCTATTGTGGGACACTTCAAAAGTGCGCACCCACGGACCCGCCTCGCGAGATTCGAACCCAGAACCTATCAGTCTCGCGCGCGACCGCTAAACCACTAGACCACTGAGCCTGCTGGCATCCAACAGTGTTGATGTCTAACTTCAACTAATCCACGAAATTGAGCGACACATACACCATTGTCACCAGTGAGTTACTATCTCACAACAGACCCAGTTGAACTCCACTGGCCACTGTTTCTCTTGAAGTCAGTCACTAGTGAGTATTTATTGATTAGTATCAGAAGGGGTTTTTGTTGAGATTGGAGTAATTTCAATGGTTGAGACCATGAATCGATTGAAGCTAGACCACCATGGAAATCCTGGAAACAATGGGCTAGTGGTTAACTGCTCATGCGCGAGACTGATATGTCCTGGGTTGGAATCCAGAAAGACGGGGTCATGGGTGCACACTGCTGAGGAGTCCCACAATAGGACGAAACGGGCGTTCAGTGCTTCCAGGTTTTTCATGGTGGTGGTCTAACTTCAATGGAATCATGATCACAACTATTGAAATTATTACATTCTCAAAACACCCCTTCTGATATAGTTTTATCTGTTATAATTTTATCGATATTCACGCTATAATTAATGTTTTAATCCATTTACGTCAAGTAATTACAAAACCGCCTAGTAGTTTTTACTGTAATTACGTAACGTTATTAACTATTTGATACTTTGTATGTTAATTTGTCGTGTATATTTATTATTATTATGATTACTTTTCATAGTCTTAGCTACACGTATAATGCTATGCCTTTATTATTTTATATTCTCTATTTGATCATTATTTTCAGTTCTTTTGTCAACAATCGCCTTAACTTCAATAATTAAATTATTTCAACTTTTATCTTGAATAATATAACTCTTTGTAAGTTCAATCAATTTGTTAATGATGAGAAGATTGAAATTTATTAGTTTATAATGAATAACAACTGGAAAGAGCCTATGTTCCTTCACTAGGAGTAACATGCATTAGTAATTAAATAATTAAGGTTAACATGCTGTTAATATGACTAAAATCTCCATGAAAAACCTATTCTGATCATGATCCTTATGTGCTCTCTAGTGACTGGATCCAAGATGATTTTCTAGAGTTCTCGTGAGCAGCCATGACCAGTGGAGTCTAATCTGTGTCGGTTAGAGACAGATGTCTACCTCAGATAATGGATTAATAGTGTGAGCAGTCATTCATGGACTGATGAAAGTTAGACAATAGCACTGTTGAATGTCAGATCAGTGGTCTAAAGGGTAAGAGTTCAAGAGTGAGATTGAAGGTTCTAAGTCCGAATTCCGCGTGCGGGATTATAGATGCGCACTACTAAGAAGCCCCATACATGCATCCAGCATTTCAATGGTGGTCTAGATTTCATTGACTCATGAATTCAACTAATAAAATTCTATTTTGCTAAAGAATATGATTCTAAACAATCATATTTATAACTCTGACAAATTAGTGAATTACAAGGCATCCAACTGAGCTTCAAACTTTTTTTGTTCAGTTTGCAAATTAGTTTGTAGGTTTGTCTTGGATAAATTACTGTTTCTGTTCACCTTAATATGAAAGGTACATATCACATACCATTACCTTTAATTCATAACGAAAAAAAGACAAATGTAAGGAAAATATTAATAAATAGCTTACTTTAAATTTTGACTGTGCTTCACGATCTATTTCAGCTGAATTGATAATCCAACCAGATATTGGATCTATTTTAAAGAAAGGTGTAATAAGCTCATTCATTTGTAGACTGTAGTAAATTTGTGCATTTTCTCCTACATCCTTATCTGTAGCATGCATCTAATAATGAAAGAAGGTTAAGTACATTGTTGAATAACTTTTGTTGGTAAACAATGTCTAACAATGAAAAATATATCTCTAATGGAGAGAGTATAGGCCGGTCACCAGTATTCATCATCCAAATCTGCCCTCGACAATCATTTCCAGTTGCTATTCATTCCTTTCATGTCTGTTTCCAGTTCTCGACACAGTGTGTTCTTTAGCCTTTCTCTTCTCCGTTTCCCTTCAAAATTCCAAGTTAATGCTTACCTTGTAATGCAGTCTGATGATTTCCTGAATGTGTGTCCTATCCAATTACAATGTCTTTTCTTAATTTCCTCCTCAGATGGAATCTGGTATATTTACATCATGCAATGGAACTGATTGCATAATATCCACCTGTGCTTACCAATTTACATATATGTGGTCACAAATACATAGTATGGAGTATACTTATTTTCAAGTTATCTTGTCTGAATAGGTAAGAAAATAGCTGCAGTAACAATTAAAATCAGATGACCCACTAAGAGTATGTAGCAAACACTCATCTCGCTGTATTAATAAACACATAGTTAAAGCAGGTCATTAGATAAATTTCAACTCAATCTTTGAGTTTTTGCATAAAATTCGTTTGAGGTAAATATTTAGGCTTGTTAAATGCTTAACCATACAGAAGTTTAAATCCTTTTCATGTTCGAAAACCATTTGCACTTATAGTAAATCTACCCTATGAACTTGGATCCATTATCCGCAGTTGTGTTATAAGCTGTAACTTATTTAAAATATGTTGACTATATTCTAAACAAAAATGGATAGTGGCTAGCAGTCGAATCCAGGACTCGCGTTTCGTCCCATTTGAGACTCGTCAGCTAGATGTACCTACATCTCAGAGTAAATTAAAGCAATATCGAGGCGATACGCACAGTATGTACATATGCCAATAAGAGACTGATCAACTGCGGTCCTAAACATCAATGGGAAGATTTAAGTAAACAATACCAAGTGAATTTATGTTGACTACATACAAAAGAATCATAATATCTTTTAGTTATACGAGCTAACTAAATTATACAAACGCTGTGTAGTGTCGTTTCGATTTACTATTCTGTCTAGGCTAGAAGCGAAATAAGGTGGATCGATGTTATGGATCTTAGACCTTATGACTTCCATGAAGTCAGTGATCATTAGTAATAGCTATATTCGAAAGCTAAGCTATATCTTCAAAGTTTATTCTTATAGCTATACAATATCATAGTGAAATAATGAGAATTCATTGATTTCAGCCATTTAAAACCTGAAGACAGTTTACATACGTAATATCAAATATTTAGAAAATCCCTGATCGATCAAAAGTGGCCAGAAGAACCGATAAGTATGGAAGAATTGTATGACATATTTATGTGTTCGAATATCTGCATGGCAACCAATGTGAAGATCCTGGGGGAAAATCTTCGAATTGATTGAAGATGTGTTTCCAGAATAGCAAATGTGATAGTAAAAATTTGGCAATAACAACCACAATGAAAAAGTAGTTAAATAACTAAACCGTTTCGGGTGTACGGTAAGTGGCCACCCAAGATGGTGGAAGATGGTCGCACAATGTGCTGGATAGATTAAGGTTAGGCGTTTACGCCATTTGATGCCAGCTCAGTCATTGGGAAGTTAGGGATTCACATGGGAAATCGAAGATCCCGAGTTCAATCCCTATGTGCGGAATCGTGGATGAAAACAGATACGGAGTCCCACAACAAAACAAAACGGTCTCTCGGTACTTTTAGGTTTTTATTGGTGATCTAACCTAGATCGGTCCACAATTTCAATGAAAGTAACAAAGCATAATGAAAACAAAATAGATAAGAATGAATAAAGAGACCTACAATCGAGACTGAGAAATATTATATTACGTAACTAAATGCTGGAAACTGAAAGTACCATGGAAATGAAAACTTAACGGCAATCCTATTTCATGATTTTAAAAGTAACTTAATATTTGATTTTGTACATTAGTCAGAAACTATAGAATTTCTAAATTGTTACATCGTCCAAATCTTCTCCGTCAGTTTTGACTGGATTGGTTCATGTTGTGTTGTATCGGAGAATCTTGCTATTTCCTTTGTGTATATTGAGACCTATTGCTGCTGAGGCTGTTGCTACACTGGTTGTCTTCTCCTGCATTTGTTGTTGCGTGTGCGACAGAAGAGTCAGATCATCTGCGAAGTCTCGATCGAGTTAGTTTTCTATGGGATGGGGTCGCTAACTCCATGCTCGACCCCCCTCTTTTATCCGAGCTTGGGATCGGCAGTAGCCCAGAGGGGCTCTAGGTGGAGTTTGTCAGAATAATTAACGGTTATTAATCTTTTAATATTAAGTTGTAATCTTGCAGTATTGGAAAAAGATGAAAAAAAGAATGAAAATTCACGTAACTATATAACTATTTGCAATCTCCAAGATACTGGCGTTCCACACTCTATTGTGGTGTACGTTAAACAGTAAAACAGTTAAACATATACCTAATCGGCTATTTTAGTTAATAATTGGTTAGTGATAATTATCATAATCAACACAAGACTGAACTATTTACATTAGTGGTAACATTACAGCTTGATAGATTAACTGAAAAATGGTTTGTAGGATTTAATTTGTCCTATAGTTATACTACCCCGATCGAAGCTGCTACCTTGACGCGGTGGTCGGGCTTGCCTATCGTGATGACCCAACCGAGCTATATTGGCTGGAACATATGTTCCTGTAGGTTCTACCATGCCAGGCAGGTCGATTGGTGAACGGTAAGACTAAAAGCAGCAACTCAAGGTCTGAGGGCGAAGTCGTACTGCTGACTGTAGAGGGGTGTGACAGCAGTAAGGTGTTTCCTTCGGACAACCAGCATGACAGCGATGCTGCCTTCCCACAAGGAGGGGTGGGGTTAGAAAAGGTCGACCCTAAAAATGTCACACCTCACCTTACCTCACGGATTTCCGTCTCCGGCGGTAAGGCCCTTTGAAGAACGGAGCTAACACGTCAAAAACCTTCCACAAAAAGGCCGTGCGCGACCGGCCTCAAGCAGTTGTCCCTTGGGCTCTGCGGTCACGCTCCCAGGTCGTCAAGACCAACACTAATCCAATTTCCTTTTCAGGTTCCTCAAGAAATACCCTTCCACGGTGTGGGCAGCCGGGAAGTGACATCAGCCCTCATACCCGTAACAGCACAAGAGACCAAGGTGGTCACATTCAAATCCTTCCTACACCTCCTAATACCTCTCTTATCTCCATGACTAACCCTCCTCACGTCTCTTTATCACCTCGCACCGCTAGGGCAAACGATTTGAGTACGTGGAACGCCATTCCTGGTCTCCTGAAACCACGCTCTAAACTACACGTAGGAGCTTTTAACGTACGAACACTTTGCCAAATAGGACAGCAGGCTTCCTTAGCTAAAACTTTAGAATCTCGCGCCATCGATGTGTGCTGCGTCTCCGAAACGCGCATACAGGATCCAAGTAGCGTCATTCATTTGACCTCACCATGCCAAAATAAAGAACCGACTCGATTTACGCTTCGTGTATCTGGAAGCCCTGATTCTGCTTCCCGTGGCCTCGCCGGCGTAGGTATAGCATTGAGTCCTAGGGCAGAACTAGCTCTCTTAGAGTGGATCCCAGTAGACAGTCGTTTGTGCGCTGTCCGACTGAACGGAACAGTAAGAATCCGGAAAGATAGGGACACTCGTCGTTGCCTCTTCGTCGTCTCTGCCTATTCTCCCACTGACTGCAGCTCAGATGATGTAAAAGATGAGTTTTACAGAAAGCTTTCGGACCTTCTCCGAAAAGCTAAGCGCTCGGATGTAGTAATAGTGGCCGGTGACTTTAATGCTCAAGTAGGTAAACTAAGCGATAGGGAAAGACACCTAGGTGGATCTTATGGTGTCGTGGCTCAAAGAACAGATAATGGCGACCGTCTGTTGCAGCTATGCTCAGATAACCGCCTGTTCCTTGCAAATACTAACTTTAAGCATAAGGAAAAACATCTTTTAACATGGCGACCCCCTAATTCGTCCCAACGTTGGACCCAAATAGATCACATCGCTATCAGCCACCGATGGAGGGGCTCGATAGAAGACTGTCGCTCATTCTGGAGCACATGCCTAGATTCAGATCATGCTCTAGTGCGAGCGCGTATTTGCTTGCGTCTTACTGGACGTAGGAAAGACGCTGCAAGGAAACCTCTTAGGGCCTACTTAATGATAGTCAAGCTAAGAGTATATTTCAGGAACAACTAGGAAAACAGTTAGGCAGCCATGTATGTGATGCCCACCCCGATGCAGCATGGAATGATATCCGAAAAGCTGTGGAAACAGCAGTGATATCTGCTAGTAAGGTAAACCAGAAGGTTAGGGAGCAACACTGGATCTCAGCAGCATCTATCGCACTGATAGATGCTCGGAAACTCATTCCACCTGGCTCTGAACATAATGAAGAGCGGAAATCTGAAACGAGGGAGAGCATCAGGCCCTGACAGTTTACTCCTGAGATTTTTAAGGATGATAGTCCAGTATTAGCAATGAGATTAACCGAGGTCATAGGTAGAATTTGGGAACTGGACGTGATCCCATCTGACTGGTCTCAATCACTGATTGTGCCAGTCTATAAGAAAGGACAAAAGTCCTCTTGTGACAATCACAGAGGAATCAGTTTGACTAATATAGTGTCTAAAATGACATGGCTCAAAATCGTTTGCAATGGCGCAGGTGCATCCACTCTCTGTGTTCTCCCAAATTCTAATCTTCTGAGTCCTTCATGTCCCTTTTTTCCTCTTTCCAAATTTATTTCACTGGATTATACTCTTTAAATAACATCTCCAAACCCTAATCTTCCCGATTACTGCTTATACTCTTATTACCTCTACCACTATGGGATTTGAATCGACAACTGCATCTCTGTGCTAATGTGGTGTGCATGGCAACTCGAACTGATGTACGTACGTACGAAGTTCTACGTTGTTACTGACTGACTGACTGATAGTTATACTACTAGTGTAATGTGTGCTACTTACATAGACATAAGTATTATATAATGCTAGTCAGCAATAGAATGTCTGACAGCAGAAAGTCCAGAAGGAAAAAACGCGAACAGAAAGCCTTTGGTATACAAATGTAAGAATAATGAAATCGGAGACGATTGGCTGATATTTATAAAAGAAACAGTCAAGATTGAGACAATCGATTGATAGTTTACAAATTGAATATTTACTGTACAGTTCTCAGATTTTAATAAAGAGTTCTGTAATTTCGTCCTTGAATACATTCGATTGTTACCACTTATGTTCTCGTTCCTTAAACTGGGACTGTAAACGCGATACTGGCGATTTCACAGTCTATATGAAAGATAAAGTTTAAAGTCAAGTTCTCCTTATTCTGACTATAGCTTTCACATGGACTCTGAGATCGCCAATATCGCATTTACAGTTCTGGTAGTATATCTATAGGATAAATTATAATCCTACATGATACCTTAAATAAGATCATATGAGATTGGTCATCGCTTAATGATTAATTATGTGGATCATTTTTTCATTGTATACGGAAATAACCTGATCAGCGGTCTACAATCCATTAGGAGTGACAGGCGTAAGTAAGTAAGTAAGTAAGTAAGTAAGTAAGTAAGTAAGTAAGTAAGTAAGTAAGTAAGTAAGTAAGTAAGTAAGTAAGTAAGTAAGTAAGTAGTAGTAAGTAAGTAAGTAAGTAGTAAAGTAAGTAAGTAGTAAGTAAGTAATACAGAAATAGCATTAAACAATTACTCACTTGAATAATTTTAGTGTTTATAGGCGAGTTTTCTTTAAGTGTAGCTTTATATAATTGTTTATCAAATATTGGTTCATTATCATTTTCATCTAATATATGTAAGACAATAGTCATTGTTGCTGTTAGACTGTTCGATGATGACATTGAAGTCATTGATACATGTTTATTGTCATATTCTTCTGATAAAGGGGAATTACTGAAGGAATTAGTAATACCATCCCAACAATATAAAATAGCTAAATATTTATCAGAAGAATTTTCACGATCATATTTATTTTGACTATATAATGTAAAACGTTGATAAACATGAGTTTCAGTATTTGAGTATGATAATGAGGATGATGATGATGATGAAAACGTTGAGAATATTGTAGAATAGTTATTATTATGATGATGAAACTCTTTTTGTAATAATGTTTGTTCACTTAAATAAAGTGATTCTTGTACAAACAGAATAGGTTGATTTCTTATTAAATGTGATGGTTCTTCACAATGTACTTGACCATTCACTTTTGGACTATCCCGATCAACAATAAGAAGCTATGGTGATAAAGTGAAAAAAACAGAGAAGAATAGCTTTATATGTGATATTGAAATAAAACTCAACATATTCTTATTATATTTGTGTCACTCTATTAAGCAAACTTGACAATTAGGAACTAGTACTATTTTGATGGAGTTTTGTTCTCTGAGCTGGATAGTTTGGCCGTGGAGCTTTCATCGTTCTTCTGAAGGACATCATCAGCACAAATTTCAGATAGAAGTGAAGTGTTCGAATTTCTCCATATGCGTTGTTCTGTACACCTCAACGTTCAGTGGTTCTTATTGACCTTAAATTTATCATTGTTTACTTTGTTTTGGTTGTGTCTAGTACAATTTACATGATGGAAATAAGAATATAGAAGACTGATGTTATATTCGATGAAAATTAAAGGAATGGTAACTCCCAAAATTCATTGATGAACTATTATTATAGATATATAATAATGATTCTTAACATCAGTAGCTGGTGCACTCTTACGTACCGCTTTGGTAGCTAACTGCTTTCTTGGTGCCTTTCCACTTGTGCTCTTACGAGTAGTCTGCTTTGTACATGCCATGACTGTGAACAATCATAATAATGATTAGGATAATCATAATTAATAAGTACCTATATATGTATATATATTCCTTTTATCATGAGCTTTCGATCAACCCATTGTTCACTGTTTTATCATTTAATATTCTTGATCTGTTTCCAGTTTATAAATCCCTGTCTTTACTCACAAACTCCATACAATGGTTCCTTTTATGAATTTAAATATTACTAAATTAATAACTGTGGTAGAATAATTCATTTTATTGTGTAGGTTTTTGTAGGTTACTTACAATTCTAGTCTTGTTAATGTGACATTATGATATGATATAACATTGAGTAACGGGTAATTAGGACATAAGGCATAAGAACAACTTTCTCTTTCTATATATATATATATATATATATATATATATATATATATATATATATATATATATATATATATATATATATATACGTAAAGATAAAATTCCAAAACATAGAAGAGGCGAGGCAGTATTTATATGAAGTCGAGAGAGTGATGAGATAGATTGTGTGATAATTATCGAAAGTTTGAAGAGTTTACATAAATATCAAATCACTTGGAAACAGATAGAAGACAAACAACGAAGAGGTAGTTATTGTCCAAAGTTCGTAATTAATAAGATGGTTACATAATAATGACAAAAAGATTTAAACAGTATATTTAGGTTAAAAGAATCGAGTGAGTGAAAAACAGATAAATGAAAGGGTGATTTTAGTATACATGGAATAACAATAATTTTAAAGATGATTGCACTACAGGGTAAACACTATATTTCACAGATTGAAATCACAAGTCAATTGAAGCTAGACGACCATGGAAAACCTGGAAGCACTGGACGACCGTTTCGTCCTAGTATGGGACTCTTCAGCAGTGCGCATCCACGATCTCACACCCCGCGAGATTCGAACTCAGGACCTATCAGTCTCGCGCCAAGCGCTTAACCATTATACCACTGAGCTGGGCGTCTAACTTGAACCAATCCACGAAGTTACGCCACCGTACACAATTGCCTTCAGTGAGTTCCTATCTCACAACAGACCTGGTTGGACTCCACTGGTAACGGCTTCTCACTAGAACTCCAAGAAATATCTCTTGAAGTCAGTCACTAGTGGGCAGATGATTATTATCAGGATGGATTTTGTGGAGATTTTAGAAATTTCATGGGTTTGAATCTCGCGGGGTGCGGGATCGTGAATGCGCGCTGCTGAGGAATCCCACAATAGGACGAAACGGCCGTCCAGTGCTTCCAGATTTTCTATGGTGGTCTAGCTTCGATTGACTCATGATTTCAGTCTGTGAAATCTCTACAATCTCCACAAAATCAATTCTGATAAACACTATATGGCCAACGATAATAATAAAAAATTATGAATTCACTATGATTGTAATAAATTATTGACTTGTATAGATGATATGTAGCATTTTTACAGTTTCAATCGCGAACTGATATTAGTTAGACCTCTATTGAAAACCTAATAGTAATGAACAGGTGTCTTATCCTAGTCTAATACTCCACAGCAGTGGACATCCACGATCTCACAAGGAAGAATCAGACGTAGGACCTTTGGTTTCATCAAAGAAAGCTTAACGTCTAGGTTACTGAGCCCATATCCAACAGCATTATTTTCTAAATTCAACTAATTCGCGGTCTTGTTCAATATCCATCTGTTACCTGGGTAACTGTGGATATCTTTCATATACCCAACACAGATTGAACTTCGTTGATCATAGCTTCGCATTAGAACTCTAGGAGTTACATCTATAAGCCAAAATATGGGGATTTATGGAGATCATCCAGTTCCTCTAGGTTTTCAATGATACTCTAACTTAGATCAGTTCGTGAAAATTGGTTAATATCTCCTATCGGATGCAAAAATATGGATCACTACTATTTCTTCAGAATGAATAGAAGTAGAGTTATTTTGTTTTATGGTTCAGAAGATTTCAATTATGTAAGCTGTTTATTTGATTCACCAATTTAAGTCTTAAATATGTGTTCCAGTAACAAATGATTTATCAGAAGGGGTTTTGTGGAGATTGTAGTAATTTCAACAGTTGCGATCATGAATCAATTGAAGCTAGACCACCATAGAAAACCTGGAAGCACTGGACGGCCGTTTCGTCCTATTGTGGGACTCCTCAGCAGTGTGCATCCACGACAACTGATTTATACACATAAAGATTTTATTGAAAGATAAAATCACAACATAATTAAATAGATTGGATTACATGAAATTAACTTTTAAACTTTATGTATTGCACAATACTTTTTTTGAAAACTGTGAATGTGATTCATAAATTACATATCATCTGTGCCACCACAGCTATATAATCCTTAAGCTTCGTATACAATTCGTCCTGATAACTGTTACTAGATAATGCCCCAACGGTGTATTAATCAGAAGGCGAATACAAAGTTTTAATTATGTTTATTATTTCACCACTCACAGATCACCAAAATTACAGGTACGTTAAGCAAGCATGAAAGAGTAGTGTCGAAAATCTAATAGGAAAGCGAGTGTGCGAGCTATTAGAATGAGCGAGTTGGTGAGTCAACGAACAGGATTACAATGTACATATATATAGATAGGGAAATCAATGAATAATCAAAGCAATTAAGCGAATAATAGTAAAGCTAGGAGAGTGAGTATATGCGTTGGTAGTAAGCAATGCTCAAGCATACATATTCATACAAGTGCAACAATAATCAAGGTTCAACTATATAAGTTGTTATTGTACGGTTGACTCTGTCCGTTAAATGAGTTAACAAAAGGGTTTGACCAAATTAAATGTGAACAAACTCAATTGCACGTGAGCCACTATAATCTAAGCAAATATGGATAGTGGCTAGCGTTGTAAACTAGGATTTTAGAGTTGATTTTCACTCTAGGACTCGAACCCAGTACCATTCAATTCAAACGCCATCACGTTATCTACTTAGCTACTGAATTATGATAGAGTGAATGTAAACACTGAGATGCAGCTACATCCAGCTGACGAGTCCCAAGTTGGTGAAAACGCTCATCCTGGATCCTACTATCCATCATTGCTTTTAACATTTGTGACTTAAGGCTATATCGGGGCGATCTGCACAGCATTCACAAATACCAATAAAGGACTGAGCAATTACAGTCCTCAGTATCCATGGGAAGATTCATACAAACAATACCAAATGAATTTAAACTTCACCCTATTGCACAAGTAATTGGCCATGATGAATCAATAGCTAAGTGGATAACGCGATGGCGTTTGTTAGCGCACGTGACTGATTTTGAGACCCAGAGTGAACATCAACTCCGAGATGCAGGTACATCCAGCTGATGAGTCCCGAATAGGACGAAACGTGTGTCTTAGATTCCACTGCTAACCACTATTCATCATTGCCTACAAAAAGTTTGTGAATTAAGACAATATCAAGGCATACGCACAGTATGCACATATGCCAATAACAGACTGATCAATTGCAGTCCTCAGTATCAATGGGAAGATACAAGTAAACAATACCAAGTGAATTTAAACTTCACCCCATTTCACAAGCAAGTGGCTACCAGGGCTCAGTAGCTGAGTGGATAACGCAATGGCGTTTGAAGCGAATGGTACTGGTTTTCGAGTCCAGAGTGGACATCAACTCTGAGATGCAGGTACATCCAGTTGACGAGTCCCGAATAGGACGAAACGTGTGTCTTGGATTCCACTGCTAACCACTATTCATCATTGCTTTTAATGTTTATGACTTAAGGCTATATTAAGGCAATCTACAATTCTAGACCTAAACATCAATTGAAAAGATTCAAACAAAACAATACATTTACATCTATTCTCAATAATCAAATTATTCAAATCACTTACATGACCAATTAATGTTTTAGCTGGTTGATTTTCATTAATTATTAATTGTAATGGATTTAATAAAAATTCTGGTAATTCATCATTGACATCAATAATTTTAATTAATAATTGAGTAAATGCATAGAATTCACCATCACTAGCACGTACTATTAAATTATATAAATTACATTGTTCATAATCTAATTGTTCTTTAATCATCACTTGACCATTTGATTTAATTAAAAATTTTGATGTATTATTTAAATCAATATTAGTCTCCATGGAATATGTAATGGTAGAATTGATATCTTTATCAGTAGCAACTAACTACAAAAGGAAAGAAGAAAAAAAGTAAAGGATTGATTACTAATCAGTGTTATGGTTGTTTTGTATTCAGCATGAATGTGACTATTACTTACTTACTTACTTACGCCTGTTACCCTCGTGAAGGAGCATAGTTCACCTACCATCAGTTTCTATCTAACTGTGTCCTGGAAAATTCTCTCCAGTTGTTATTCATCCTTTTCATTATATATGCTTCTATTTCCTGACTTAATGTGTTCTTTGAACTTCCTCTTTTCCATTTCCCTTCACGATTCCAAGTTAGAGCTTGCCTCGTGATGCAGTTTGATGATTTTCTCAATGTATGTCTTATCCATTTCCATCATCTTTTCCTAGATTACTCTTCAGATGGAAGCTGGTTTGTTCTCTCCCACAGTAGGCTATTGTTGCTGATGGTATTTCGCCAATGGATGTTGAGTATCTTGTGTAGACAACTATTTATAAATACTCGTGACTTCTTGATGTGACTAGTAGTTTGAGTGAATTAACAATGCGTTCATTATGTCAAGATGTTTTGTAATTAAAAATGGTTAGCACGAAACCTTGAACATATCATGGAATACTGCACTCGATGTCAGGTTATTTAGACTAGCGATCACTTTGTAATATGATCAATGAGATTCTATCAGCACTGAAAGTTTAGTTAAATGTGACATTGGTTATTAATCAATAATCGATCTGTCTTAAATAAATTAGTTTTTCAAGTGGTCAGTTGAGTCCCTGGTAGTTTAGTGGTAACATATTAGATTGCGAAATTAAATGATGAAGCTAAAATCCTACAAGGAACATTAGTTCCTTCAAGATTGTAAACCTATCGTGCTGATCAGTATTAGCTGCCACAAGATGATGATCCAGGATTTCTTGTAGACCCTCTCCTACCAATTAAAATATATGTGCTCACTTCTAAGATTTTTGTACAATAAAATAGTTACAGTTTATAAGAAACAAGTGATATGAAACTGTTGAGCATTGGCTGATTAATTAGTATTATCTGTATCAATAATACCATCTCAGTAATAAGATTTCTAGCACTAATTGTTTTGGATAACTTTGAACTGTGTTGGAGTATGATCGAACTGGGTAAAAATGACCGATGACAAGAAGTTACCATGTTCAATGTAAAAAAGTTGAAGGTTTTGGTGGTGATTTTACGTAGTGCTAGCAACGGAACATTGTATCTGATCTTTTAACCTAGTTCAAAATACATTTGTATTGGGTCTACGGATCTTCTAATTGATGTTTAAGGATGCAGTTAGTCAGTCCCTTCGGGAATGTGTGTGTAGTGTGTCGATTGCCTCTATATTACCAGTACGTTCTAAGCGTTATAAGTAGAGTTGGATAGTGACTTGCATTGGCGTTTATAGAGCGTGTTTCATCTTATTTGTGACTCGTTGGTTGGATGTACCTATCTCAACTCAGTAGTTAAGTGAAGAATGCTTGACTTTTGAAGCAAACGGTACTGGATCCATGTTGCGAAGTAAACATCAACTTCAGTATTCCAGTAGATCTACTTGATAACTCCAAAATGTGATAGGACGCGCGGTTTTAACTCCACTGCTAACCACCACACAACTTTGCTGATAACTAAATATTTTCATACTACATTTTTCATTTAAAATGGTTTCGCATCTTAAATCGGCTCAAAACGAAGAAATGAACATTATTCAGATTCTCAACTGACCTGTTGTGGAAAACATTATCTATATCGTGATAGCTTCATTTCTGATATCGGACGCTGATGAACTTCTATGGTCTAATCGAAAACTTCACAATGTGTTATAACGTGAAAATGATGCTGCTGATTAAGGGTAGCGAATTATTGATCGGACCAAAGACGCACAAACACGTAGAACGACCTAGGGTTCTGATTGGTCTCGCTTCCCTATCTAACCCAGGCAGTTGAGTCCAGAACACAAGTCACAGCCTCTGGGTTATGAATCACTATATTTCAAACATACTTTGTTTATATACCAGTCAAGCAGACCACATCGTACGATAAAATAGGAAATAACATTGTACAATAATGGCCAGTAGGAAAATGACACGTTAAATAAATATTGACCAATAAGATGATACCATTTCATGTCCAAGGATAGCATTAGCCTTAACAGGATAATTTTTTGGGATATTTTCCTGAATATCCCAACACAATGACTTTAGATATTAATCATATCGTGATGTTTACGAACTTTTTAATCAATAGTCTAACATGTGACTTTCGACTGCGTGATTGACTATTGATTAGCGTAAAGATTGACTTGAAAAATATAAAACAATACTGGATCACCCTCATTTAACTGCCGCTTGACAGTTTTATATAAGGTTATCGTTATCTTCGACTGACGAAATTTAGCATGTCGATTATTGCATATCAACTGAATAATTTGAAGGTAGTGGCTCAACATAAAGCTTGAATGTCGTGGGTTAGATCATCAGTGTAGTCAAGTATGTGTACAACTAAGAAGTCTCATAGTTGTACAAAACAGCTGTCCAATATTTTCTGGTTTTAATTTGTTTCGTAAAATCAATCCTTGATAAAAAAAAACTAGATATTCAGTAAGAGTATCAGTCTGTCAGTCAGCAACAACGAAGAACTTCGTACGTACTTACATCACTTCTAGTTGCCATACCACATCAGCACAGAGAGGCAATTATCGATTCAAATCCCGTAGTGGTAGATGTAGTAAAAGTATAAGCGGTAATTGGAAATATTAGGGTTTGAAGATGTTATTCAACGAGTATAATCCATAGAAATAAATTTGGAAAGCGAAAAAATGGGACATGAAGAATTCAGAAGATTAGAATTTGGGAGAAAGCAAGGAGTGTATACAGTGATTGGTTCAAAAGAACAGAAAACATTGTAAATTAATTTAACAGTTCGATTGGTAACTGATGGAACTTACTTACTTACACCTGCTACCCCTCAGGGAGGAGTATAGGTAGCATACCAGTATTCTCCATCAAACTCTATTCTGAGCTTCAGTGTTATTAAAAACGTGTATAGTTTACTATGTATCCTAGCACCTAGTTATTGTTTTATGGTTAAAATTGACTAGTTAACACAAAATTTACTAGTTCTTTGCAACACTTCACCAGTTTCATGCAGATTCATTGAAGTACTGAGTTCGAACAGTGTTATATATCATTCTGGCTCAAAATCATGGTGGTACTTTGTACTATTTATGAAACGTTTTAAATATCTTTTTAATAGCAAGAAATGTTATGGTACTTGGCATCTACATTACATATGCGATAAACGAACTATAACAAGATGTACTGGTGTTAAACATATTAAACACTAAAATATGTATGTTTCCTTTGGATTCTATCTGTTTAGAAGATTATAATTTATGGACGATCTTTGAGCGAAGTAAAAGTGGCCATGAGAATGTCCATCTAATAACTAGGATCAAATGAGGGATATAAACCAGTGTGAGGAATTAGAATTATGATTTACAACTGATGGTTAAGGTTAGGTATTAGATTTAGGGTTTTCATCACAAACTGGCATCAGCTATAATGCCAAAGCTCTAGTTAATCAAATGGATGGATGAATTTCTCACCAGAATCTGGTACCTTTTATCTTAAATCTGATTGGTTCGCCCATAAATTATAGTCTCACCACATTAATCCAACATTCATGGAAATGATATTTTTACCATTATATAAATATCTTAATCCAATGGTTGAATTCATGAGTCGATTGATGTTAGACCACCATGGAAAATCTTGGGAGCACTGGATCGTGCACGCGCATGCTGAGGAGCTCCATACTTGGACAAAACGGCCGTCCAAGGCATCCAAGTTCACTATGATGGTCTAGCTTCAAGTGACTCATGAATTCAACTATTAAATTACTAAATTATCCACAAAATCCCTCTCTGATTATATAAACATCTGCTTGTTATTGTCTTCTTGCCACAGATTTATCCTAAAGTATTATCTATCTTAACTTCCATAGTTGTGACCGAATTTTTCGTTCACAGTATTTTCTTTTAGACATTTCAACTTATAGATTTTACAGGTGGACAGGTTGTTATGTGGTGGACAAGAATACAAATGGGTACAGTCAAATATATTAGTAGAATCTGGGAACCGTATAGAAAATACTTCATTTGCAAAATGTCAATCAGTTCCTTTGTTTCCACACCAATCATTCTCTGTTCTCATTCTCTTTCCTTCAATCTTCTTAACTTTCTTTCACCAGATATTTCATTTTCGATTGTTGATACATACTACTTATATCTGTCTAGATCAGTAGCGCATACTACAATTGGAAATTTACATCATTAGAGATAAGTGACATAAATATATAGTTTGCTTCTCTTCAGATTGGTGAAATTGTAACAGTTTTCTACAAAGATAACATTTAGAATACATGCGTTATAAATACACTTGGTATTATTTGGCTTGTATCTTCCCATTGAGGTTTAAGACTGCAATTGATCAGTCTGTCATTGGCATATGCGCATACTATGCGTATTGTCTCGATATTGCCTTAATTCACAAGATTTTTGTAGGCAATGATGGATAGTAGTTAGCAATGGAATCCGTCCTATTTGGAACTCGTCAGCTGGATGTACCTGCAGCTCAGAGTTAATGTTTACCCAGTACCATTCGCTTCAAACGTCATTGCGTTATCCACTCAGCTACTGAGTCCTGATAGCCACTTGCTTGTGAAATGGGGTGAATTCAAATTCACTTGGTATTATTTGGCTTGCATCTTCCCATTGATACTGAGGACTGCGATTGATCAGTCTGCTATTGGCATATGTGCATGCTGTGTGTATGCTAAATAGGACGAAACGCACGTCCTGGATTCCACTGCTAGCCACTATCCATCACTGCTTACAAAAATGTGTTATAAATGGCTTGGATTTTTAAGTGATTTAGTAATATACCAAATGAATTTATCTCTTAGGTTAAGCTGTTCTTATATGATGTTGTCATTTCCGGTTATTTTTTGTTTTACATTGAGATACATT